TTCCCTTCCTTCCCTTCCTTCCCTTCCTTCCCTTCCTTCCCTTCCTTTCCTTCCTTCCCTTCCTTCCCTTCCTTCCCTTCCGTCCCTTCAGTCAGTCCCTTCCTTCCTTCCTCCTTCCTTCCGTCCAACACATCTGCGTCGAACACTCAGTCTCGCTCCCCCGCGGTGAGTGCAACTAAATGAGAACCCAAGCATCGGAGATGCTTTTGGGAAAAAACCTGGCCACCGTGGAGCTTCACCACCCGCCCCCACCTTGGCTTTTTCGTCCTGGCCCTTGCCCTCCTCGCCATCCTTGCCCTGGCGTGGCGTCACCGCACCTCTCCGTTGGCGCAGCTCCATGGTGGGAATCAATGGGAATCAATGATCTTTTTCGGGGGTATTCGTTAGTTTTATCATTTCTAATGTATATCCTGTGTAATTCGGAATAGGTCAATTCTTGCTGACATGATATGAAAGTGCCAAGACTTGAGATATTTGATTTGCTCATCACCTCTATCAGTCGCCCACCCACAAGATTCCAACAGCCTATGTGGGGATTGATCTGGTCTCCGATTTTGCTGATATTGGTGTAACAACGGATTTCAGCTCCTGTGATCCATGCAATGGCATGTGGATGTTGCAACATCTTCTGCATGTCTCATGATCTCACAGTCGTGCTGCTGAGCTGAATTGACTTCGCAGGAACCTTTTGAAACTGACATCCATCTGGTGCCTTTTAAAAGTGCCATCCCCGCCTGAAAACTGCAGTACCATAACCAGACTTCGCTATGTTTGGCTCCCCCGATGTGCTCATCTTAATAGTGTACATTACTTGAATGTTTCCATGACAGCGAAATGGGATCAAAAAAACTTATCAGCCTTTTTCAGGTGCTTTGGGATCGTCGCCAGTGTGCTTGTGGTCGGAAGCTTTGTCTGACTCACACCACCAGCAAACCAATGCTGTGACTGCGCCAGTTTCGGAGCCACTTTGGGCTCGCTTCGCCAATGTCACAGTGTAAATCTGGTGTTTCTCCAATAAGAATATTCGAAGCATCATCTACTGCTATCTTCTGTCACAACATGAAGAAGCCATCAATCATCTGGCAGGGTCAGGAAAGCTGCAGCTGACAACTCCGGGCCATAGGAAACGAAGATCAAAGCAAAGTTCAGCACCTCAGTGACCACGTCTACGTCTGAGCCACTACATTCCACCAGGGTTTCTTGCGGGTAGCCTCCCACTTTTGTTGATGAATTCCACTTTCTATGGTCAAATGCACATGTTGTTGGGTTCGATAAAATCACCAGTTTGGTTGGATTGCCATGTTTGTTGGTTAAAACATGTTAAAACCAATGTTTTCATGCCCGACTCACAGATGGCCACGAGCGAGAACCATAGAGTCGTACGTTGTGCAGCCAAGGAGCCACCAACCACTGAACCAAGCCCATCCTCGGAACCGACACTGCCAAACTGCACTTCGCCATCAAACAACGGGGAACATGATGGCCATGGAGGTTTGGGGTCTTCAAACAAACCTAAATCAATGTTCAGGGAAAACTACAGTTGTATTTGCCAAACCATGGCTGCAAATATCGTATGATCTTTCAAGTATGTAGAGGTTATTCATGGCTACTGATGGAGATGTCTACAATGATGAGCCCCCACTGGCTATGACTGGCACCCTGGAAGCCGAGGGGCAAGCTGCGAATCCTGCGGATCAGAACTGAAATGCACGCGAAAATCCCTGATGTTGGCAGGTTTTCTCCCCATCTTGGTTGATTTAAGCATGAAGGGTTATATTGTAATATATATATATACACTGTAATAGTATGTAATAGTTATATGTATATCATGTATATTCATAATAGTATATATATATATAACATTATATAACCCATATATATATATATATGTATATATTTATTTATATAATCATATACTATTCCATTCTGCGCAAATTCCGAACCGAAAGGGACAGATCCACCCAGCAGCCCCCTCTCCTGGGCGACTGGCCACCGCTGGAACTCTCGGTGCGCTCCATGAACTGCGAAATGATGGGCGCAAGGAAGATCAAGATGGGGCCACGCATCAACACCTGCGAACTTTTCTGGGAGAATCTGTGATCCAGCCATGGGGAGAAGTGGATCTATCTCGTGGTGCCCATGTGCAACTTGGATGTATGGAGGAGGGTAGCCCCTGATGAATCCTTATGATATTTACTAATTGTAGGGCTCATCCAAAAGTGGTGATTGGACTGAAGATTCAGGAAGAATCTGTCAAGGGTGATGCACACCATTCAATATTCAGACATCGTGTTGGGAGTGGAGTGCAAGCCAATGGGTGTGCTTCGGCCATGTGGAAATTTCTGCAGGATCATGTAGTGATTGTTGAACCATGGCAGCTTGGGAAAATGCTAGCCCACTCACCCGAGATCAATTCAAGATTTGCAAAGCACGACTGCAGTTCATGTTGAGTGGGTTGACAGATTGGGGAATCTGGGCCTCCCGTTCCTAAGTGCCTGAGTTTCCATCAATGAATTTCTTTGATCGCTACAGTCATCGAAAATGTGTTGAGGCTGCATAGGTCTACAAGTGAAACTACCGCGTCCAAATAAGCATATTCATAGTAGATGGATAGATAAACCATCATTATCCCATCATTAATGTCGAACTAATTTGATCATCCAGAACTATTTTCACTCCACAATCTCCCGTGCCGCAGCCTTGTGCCGAAGCAAGACAAGAAAGTGAACCACCTGGACTCCCAATCCAACCAACCCAAGTCCCAGATAGTTCCCATGTTAAGAACCAAGAAGGATTGAACTATCGTTAGTATATTTATACTATTTGATTAAAACTATTTATGTATATATATATGTAAATATATGTATAATTTGAACTGGATAGTATCGTTTTCAAAGACTGGCTGTTCCAAGTAACGTCATGCTCTGTGAAGAATCCCAAAAAAAAGTGTCAACTACACGTGTCAGCATTTCGATGTGTCAGGGGACAATCCAAAATTCAACAGCTATCCGGTCAGGCATTGGCAGTGAAAGGTTGCAGAGCTTGAATACCAACAGAACCAGCTGTTCACACACCCGAGAGGGAAAGCATGGAAATCGGTAAATTGACCAAAGCTGGTAAAATTTTGGTTAAATCTTCAGTGAAGTCCGTGAAGTCCATGAAGTTCAGGATTTTGGGGGATAGTGCGAAAGGTCCTCAAGTCCTACTGGGTCTTGAGTGATTTGTGTCTGAGGTGCTGAATTCATTCTTTACTTTGGAAAAGACCTTCCATTCTTCTCTGCCAAGAACTCCTACTGCAACATGACAAGTATGCTCAAGTATTCACTATTTGGTGCTTTCACCCTGTCATAAGACTACAAGACAATCATTCTCCCAAGTCGGATGCAAAAATCCTAAATACATTCGAAACCTCCTACAGTAACAACGATTGGGAATGTTAGGTCATCTTTTTGTTCCAAAATAATGTGAACAAAATGACAACTGCTGTTGGCTCATCTATCTGTGTACATATATGTTGCCTAAGAAAGGACGAACAGAATGTAAAAGTAAACAGTAAAACAAAATGGTGACTGCCTTTGATTCTATTGCATTTCACCATAAAATGCCCACCCTTGTTGCAGTTTTCACGCCGCCCAGGCACAGGAAGGTTCAGCAGCTTCGACTCCTCTGCAGCTTCCAAGGCATCTAGGGCCTGGTGGAATCTGCAAGCAGATAGCAATGAAGGGGGTAGCTACAATATAACATATGGATATATAACTATAATCATCCCGTTTTTTCCATTTTTGGGGATATACAAAACAAATTACAGTTGAGATGCACATATATTTGCGGATGTTCGGGCTTAGAACATCACATGTTGTAGGTACCCAAGCTTGACCAATGTCAAAATGGTTACGGAGATGTTGCATCATTCAACAAAGACAAGGTGCACAAGACAAGTCTTGCGGGTCTTCCCTTAATCATAATCTCTTGAGCACACTGCGCCATCGGCCTCTTGATAGCCTGGGCTGTCCTTGCGGCAAATGGGGAAGTGTGGGAGTGTCGGACCAAGCTCGATGATCACCTTACCAGATAAGATACTAAGCCAAATCAATCCAACTGATTTAAGACTTCTATTTGGCTTTGGGTCGAATTTCAATACCCTGGGACCTGGGATCCACGGTTTTGGTTAGTGTCTCCCTATTCCTTGGCTGTCAAATCCCCCATCCGGCCGTTCCTCGGCGGGCACCGTAGGCAGGTAGAGCTTCTGTGCCGCGCCCATATGACAACAGGCACCATAGAAAAAGGCCAAGGCACCTCCAAGGTGTGCCAAGGTCTGTAAGGACAAGTCTGGTTCCAGCAGGGCCACACCCTGCAAGCCCACACCCAGGGCGGCGATGAAGCCTGGGGAGCGCTGGGGATTCCAAATACTTTGGATCTGGAGGAGTCTTGCTGAATTTCCGTAGAGAAGTGACGGTGTTTTCAAGGTAAGTAGTGGCAATGGAACAAGGCTTTCGTACACATTTCAATTTGACAACAACAGGGCTTCAGGTCATTCACAAAGCCATACAAAGTGTCCAAACAAACACAGGAGTCGTGTGGCCTGCGGTTTCTCTGCTGAAAAAACGTGAGTCAACTGAGGATCCCTATTCCGAAGAGTGGAAAGAAGAAAACATAATTGAAATTACCCACCAGTACTGTACTCATAATGCCAAAGCCAACCAATTTGTGCTCTGATGCAACGTCGCCAAGCGGCCGTAAAAAGTGAAGCTTTCTCCATCGTCACCATTTTGCCCTGGCCACGTCCAGAGGGAATCCCAGCACATCAGGCACAGCAGCTGCAACACGAACCAATGCTTTATTACTTTATGGAGATTTCCCAAGTGCTTGGAGGAAAATTACTGGTGGCAATCCAAATTTCTGTCATCTCACTAAAAATCATAAAGGTTAAATTTCGATCAGATTTGCTGCAGTTGGATGATGCACTGACAGTGAATGATCAAGACCAGACAAATCTGTAGCACTGTAGCCCCATCTCATCCCCAAAACTTATCCAATATGAAGGCAAGAAACACAGTTCCCATCCATAAGGTTGGTAGTACATTTTGATAAACTTGCAAGTCCACATGATGAAAAGGGCATCTTTCTACGGATATGTTTATGAGGAAATTCCATTCCCATGTTAATGTTAGATAGTGATATGTAATTTGGATGATATGCCTTATTAATACCTATCACTCCGACAATCATAGTTGTTAGCCACTCCCTAACCATTGTTGATCTTCAGCTATATGATGAACCTTGTTGGTCAACATGGCATTCCTTCATAAGACAAATAGGACAAGTAATAGGACAAGTATTGACAGTACCTACGGCTAGGAGAACTATTTATAATTTTGAAATATGGCAGTGTCAAAACCTTGTACCCCTAGTGAACCCCAAAATAGCTGGGATTTATGGATGTTCATCCCACTAAAGTGTATCTATAGGTATTGACCCATACCCATATCTTAATGAATATGTTGCTTTGAACAATTTAAAAACATCTAAACCGAAATCGCTTCCAACAACACAAATTGGTCTGAAAACAAGGTATCCCATTCCATCCACCAGGTATCATCAATGTCCCTATTATTAGATGGCCATGAAAGGGCCCATCCCCCATTTTCAGACACCCAAATCATAATTTGTTTTACCAAAAAAAAGTGATCTCTCAATTGAAGTGATATTTAATCTGCTAAAAACATATCTATCTCTTTTTGCAGAACGCGTTTTACAGTTGAAAATGCTGCCAGCTGCACCTCCCGGTAGCTGTGGCAGCGCCAGCTCCGAATGCATCTGCACCACCGCCGCCAGGAGCATCGCCGCGCTGGCGAAGCCGACCCTCGGCGAAGCGCAATTTAAGCACGACCAAAACATGGGGGTCGAACCAATGCTTATTTAATGCTTATTTAATGCTTATTTAATGGTTGTTTAATTGTTATTTATTGGGATATTGATGTGGATATGATCAATGGGATGGGATATTGATGTGGGGAAAACAAGGTCATCTGCACCACCCATGGGAATGCTTTATCCCACAAAAATGATGACTGGGGGATGGTTTATGGCATTGCTTACCCACATTACTAGAAATGAGAGATGCCAAAAAAAAACGATGGTGTACTAAAATGAGCCGTTCATCCGTACGTTCCAAAAAAGGGCTACAAAATATTGACCAGCACTTTTGACCCGTGCCGACTTCCCAAAAAAATGATTGATTCTTGAGGGTTCTTCCGGATAGGTCGGTTAATCGTACATCTTTCAGAATGTTGACCCGCAAACTCTGAAGGGTGACTCATCTTGTATTATATATATATATAATATTTATAGACCTAAATACATCATGAACACATGTATAAATCATGTATATTTTAGAATTGTGAAACCTGACAATTCTGCGTTCCCAGTCCAATCCCCAACATCACCAAATCCCTTCGGAGCCTCGCCTGTAAAGCATCTTCGCTGCCGCGGGCCCCACGGCCAATTCGGAGATTTGTGGAAACCGCACCTGGCGCTGCAGCAAACCCACGTTCAACAAGAGGATCCAGCCAAGGGTGAAATGTATAGTCAGTAAAGCAACAGAAAATAGCGTAGTATGAGGGAGGAAAATCAGAAAAACAACCATAAATTCAGGATTGTTTTTCAGAGTTGTTCAGTAGTACGACAGACCTGATGGCAGACTTTCACACTGAATCTCTCCATCTCGCGTCGCACCTCTGGGTCTTGTAACGACTCGTGCATCACATAGCACCCAGCCACCTTGGAGAAAGTGCACTGCACCGCCGGTGTCATGTCCTGCCATTGGTGACCTGGTTGATGTAGACTGTTCTGTACCAGTTTACGGCATTGAAATGAAAGTTGAATCTTCATGGAGTCAGAAGATGCTGATGATTTTAGTATATTTTAGTCCGCTTCCCCCTCCCTTCGTGATCGGCGGAACAACAGCATATGAGTTCGCGATCCACATGCCAAGTGAAACCTAGAGACCCCACTTCCTGGGAGGTCTCCCGTGTTTTTGTCACAACCGAAATGCCAAGGTGCTGTGCCCACAATCCAGGAGAAGGAACCCAAGACGGCCTTAGCAGATCCGTCAGTTGAGCCATCTGGGGGCAGCTAATGCTGTGGGTTGCAATCCCCTGTTGTCAAAATGTCCCAATGGTTTGCCCAGTAGTCACCATTGATTAATGGTTGAAATACCATGAATTGTTGGTTCAACTGTGAATGAATATCCAAATAAATATTCGAGTAAATACCCAATTAAATATCCAATAGTTATTTTAAACACCATTAGTCACCGATAATGAACGCTTATAGATATCCAGTCAACTTCAGATATCCCAAATATCCCATGGATCCATAAATCCCCCAGCTGCAACCCGCCACCACCGTGGCACCAGCATGGGCAGCGCCGCCACAGCCAGGCCCGGCGCTTTCTCCGCGCCATGCAGCTGACGCACCCTGAGTGCAGCTGTTATTCATTCGAAATCACTGGGGGTATGTACAATCTATAGTGGTGATGGTAAATTCAAGCAACCACATGGATTGATTGGGATATCAGTGGGGATATAATTGGGATGATATAAGCAAATACAATGGGTTTATTGGTGTATTTGAAAATGGGATGGGGGATGGACCCATCAATTTAATAGGAAACATGATATTGAATTTCACGGTGCCCTATTTTAAGACAAACAAAAGAATAGTCTGGAGTCTGGAGTCTGGCTAAGCTTGGACAGCCTTGCAACAAAAAGAGTGGGATATACATATATATATATACATATCATATATATATATATATACATATCATATATATATATGTACATATTATATAGAGGGATGTTCTAGCTGCTCGTTTGTAGACAAAAAACAACCTGCCTACTGACCCACTCAACCTGCCTAGGTCCTAGGTATCCGGGAAAAGCTTACCATCAATTGAGGGAATGGATGATTGGCAGTCTGGAACCGGGAATATCCACGAATTTCTCCTGGCTCCCTTTACGAATCATGCATCGATTTGGTGGCAAGAACCAGTTCCAGTTGGCTGCATGCAAAACCTGCATCCGAAAACACACTGATTGGTGGTTTCAACCCCAAACCCCTTATAGCCAGCTGCGATCGCCATCGGTGATGGAAGGAAATATTTGGACCAAGTCGCCGGCGCACAGAGAGTTCGGTTCCAATCAGAACCTGTCACTGCGATGGCACTGTAAACACCAAGATGGAAAGTGCTATGATTGCTATGGCACTTCGGGTTGTTGTGAATGGAGGAGCAGCAGTTTTTTCAAATCTATATCGTGATTTATCAGACATCTTCTGACATCTTATCAAACAAAGCATTAATCTCCCACAATCCCGTTCAACAGCCCACCAACACTTGCACGCTTCCAAGCAGCCAAGGCCGTTGCGAGCGCAGCAGCACCAGTGAGCCATGGGCAAGGGCCCAGAATGCCCCAGCGAGCGCTCTCCGACTGAAGCACAAGTTACCACTACTGATGTTTCTGAAGGAATGGAAAGGAGGCACAGCTATAGATGTCCAGAGCAGCCAACAACGATGTCATCTGAGGAAAAAAAGAGGACTGGGTTTGTACGCCATCTGCCATGATCTACCACGGATTCTTGAATGGGAATGACCCCTCATTTCATGAATTGATCAATGGGAAAAGGCAATGGCACCTCGGTGCAAACTCTCAAATTTCTGCAGCGCACGGTGTAGACCTTCTTCTGCACCTCCGTATTGGAAGTCAGGAAACCAATGACATCCAATGACGTTGACGTGGAAAAGGCTAACTTTACATGGTTTTCTTGGATGTATTCTGCTGTTTACATTTGTTTACATTCCCAAGTGCGATGACCATCTAAGAAAATCACAAAGAATCGATACAGTAATTGATTTGCATCCCTGATCTTCAAATGAGGGTGCAAGTGTACAGGGTATTCCGAAGTGTCCAATTCGTTGAAGATCTTGGAGATGGTATCCCAAAGCGAGGCTAAGTCCGAGGCGGTCTCTCCCAAATTATTTGTCTGGCTTAAACCCCCATTTTGGTTGAATCAATCATACTTGTTGTTGGTGAAAATAACCACATGTCTTGCTTAAACCATGTTTGTTCACAAAAATCCGGAGTTGTTCTTGCCAAAACTACTCGACCTAACATCCCTCAAACATCCCAAAACACCTTAGCAGTTTCCTGTGTGTTGCGCCTTCACCAACCATTTGCCCTTCAAAATCCGCCCCTGGAGGAGAGCCAGGGAGCTGTTGAGCCTCAGGAAATCTCCGCATTCAATGGAAATATATTCAATGAGCCAAACAATCAATCTCCTGACTACGAAGTTTGCCAAGATTGGTACAACAAGGTACAACTAGATTAACTGCAAACGGTTTGCTGAGATTGCACTTCCCAGATGCACCATGATTCACCATGATGTACCAAATCTCTGGGATCCCATGGATGTCATGTCCCACCACCCAGCAAACAGGTGCTGCCATGACACTTTTGGAGCTCTTCGCCCCCGGAACCATCGTGGAGTCCCACCACTCTGGCCTGGTCGCCAGGTGCCCACTGCGAATCATCCACCTGCCAGTCGAATTGGTTTCACCACACACCATCCATGGTGATGGTATATTTAGCACCTTTGGGTGATACTGTACCTGATATATCTGGTCATTTTCAATGGTGAACTGTGTATATGGGTCAACAGTCAAAATCTTGGTGCCCTGGTTTTCACGTGGTCTAAGGCAGGTATTGATCGATCTCCACTGTAAACCTGCCTACCCTCTGATACTTAAATTTCCAATGCCTTGAATGTGTTGACCATTCTGTTACCACCAAGAGGTGGTGTCTAGTACCCCCCCCCCAGAGGGAAAATGTAAGGACCCCCATTAGATTGCCAAAGCATACCAGAACCATGGATAATCCGGAGCCTCCTCTGCAAGCTGCAAATTCTCGGGCTTCAATCGCAGCAACCGCGAACCTCCGATGGAGACCTGCGAGATTCCATCGGGAACAAGGCAAATCATGTGAAACCTTGCATGGCAATTAACAGTTAATCTTTAGAGTGATGGGATGCGTGTGTCATTTTTTTGAAGTTCCTCCATCCCACCAACCAAGGTTTATCCAAGGAATTGATGTGTTCCCACTGCAAGTGTATCAAGGGTTATGCTCGTCGATGGAATTTGGAACCTCTGGATTCTCTTGAGATTGCTGAACCGGCGTATATACGTACACATACACATTCAAACCTTGTCAGAAGCAGCAGAGACCACAACAATACCAGCACCAACAAGCGAAAGTGATGTGGTAACCCAAGGCCATAAACCATCCTCAATATTACCATCAATGGGTGGATTACCAACTTATCCCCAAATGGTTGTTGTTGGGGGTGAATCCGCCACAAACGCCAGGGCCTCCAAGCGTCCGGATTCGTTGGCAAGCTGAGTCACTTTGGCCAACTGACCATTCAGTGATTGGCCCGCCTGGACAACGAGACAAGAGAAACCAAGGGTTGGTTCACCAAACAACCACGTCCCAGCTAAGTTTCACTATTAGTGTGGAAATTAATCCTTGCCGTTTTTGAAGGCTCCTTGGAAGTCACAAGATCCCGAACGAAGATTTGCTGCAAACCCCATGGATCATGCCGGAGGGATGGAAAATCTGTCCAACGAAAAACTCCATCCACCCCATGTGGGTTTGAATCCAAACAGGGTACCCCACAATCCAAATCAAAACAGGGTACCCCACAATCCAAAACGGATTATCATGGTGGGGAACCATGATTTCACGGCAACATTTGGGACCCATCCCTCACTTCTGGACAAACCTGCCATATCATATACCCCATATTGCTGGGTATATCATATATCCCACTACATCTAATTAGTATTTTCTATGGTGTCCCATTTTTTATCGTTAATTCCCTGAATTAACTCCCATGACTTCCCATCAACTCCAATCATATCGGCATGGCTGCCTCGGAGGTCAAGCCATGCACCAGGACCAGGTCACCAGGCTCCATCCGCACATTTGTTCATGCCCACAGCTGGGGCTCAGTTGATCCAGGGACACTGGGCTGGAAAAAACATCAATGGGTCAATGGGTTAACTTTAAACAAAAACAACTGTGGAAATCTGAATTTGCCATGCCAACATGATCCAACATGAAGATATCAGGCCAATATTCCTCACAATCACTTCAGGGAATCAAGTCAATAAGCGATTCAAACTGGTGGCTTGGAGGGGAGCAGCCTGGGTTTTGAAGCTCAAGGCTGCGGACCTGCAATCTGGACGGCTATTTGCTAGTAAAAACAGGTGAAAATGTTGGGAAACCCGCAAAATCTGATGGTTAATCATGGTGAATCATGTTTTCGCTAGTAAAATTGCCATGACTGGGGTAAGCCCAATTTTCACTGAGTTTTCACCCAGGAGACTGGTGGAAGATTTCCCTCCGGGATGGTGATAACTGGTGGCTGCCTGACCAACAAACGCAGGTGTTTTCAACCACTGTGGGAATTTGGCGTAGCTTTCGAAAAAGGCCCGTTGATAGGTGAACTACCTATTAAAACCGTAGATTACAAGAGGGTTACAACGCTGATCCGAATTCCGAGATATTCGAGAGGAACGAGTGCGCAACCAAACAAAAGCGGTGATACTCTGATACAACCATACAAGTGTATGACATAACTATCTATATATATATATAATCGAAGGAAGTTTAGAAGTCAAACTTCCGACAATATGGACAGATGAAAAGCAGAGCAGGGAAGAGGCAGAGAGAAGAGAAAGATTAGAAGAAAGAAGAGTAGAAGAGAAAGAGTAAGAAGAAAGAAGATGCAGGTGGCCGTTGAACTTGTCGACCCGCCTGCTTGAATGGCCAGAAACCTCTTCAATGGGATTCACATCAAATATGATCCAAATACGTCGAATCCTATCCCATTTTATCGACTTTTGCCACTTTTGCCCACCAATTTCCAGCGACTGGACTGAATGCTCGTTGGCACGCGGCACCTCATTTTTCCTCGGGCTGTCCCGTGCCGTTGGTGATCGCAGCTTGCTTCTTGCGTCTCCATATGAATGACGCTCCATGATGCTAACACCACTCCATGATGCTCCATGCGTCTGCCTCCAAAATTCCAGCGATGTGCATTCGTCCATGGCTAGATTCAATTTGATTATAGACCCCGTCCAAACATTTGTCGGGTTCTATCTCTCAACTGCCCTGCATCCGCCATCCTTTCTGGTGCCTGAACTACTTGCATCTGAATCCCAACCAGGAAGTGACTCATCGGCATATTGTTAGTCAGATTGTATCACCAACAGATATCTTAAGGGAGAAACAAACACGGTTCAACCCACCAACCAGATATATTGGTATGAATTTAGCCTAACACTGCATCAGGTTCTTATCCGATGGCCTCTGCTGAGGTTTTGGCCGTTACAAATACGTCCACGAGCCGATCGTCATCGTCCCTGCAGCTGGGGACCGATTCGCAGTTGATGGGAAAGATGGGTAACATGATAACCTTCTGGTGGCCGGCACTATAACTCCGCCAATCATCAAAGTCCATGAAGGTGGTCAAAAAAAAATCGGTTTGTTGATGTTTGTTGCTCATCTGGACGTGAAAGACATACGTGAACATACTGTAATGGATAGAATAATGTAGCGGGTCCATCTTGTAGTTCCATTTGTAGATAGCGCCACTCATTATGTAGTAGGTCGTGCACATCCATACCTTTTTCTCCCTTTATTTCAAAAATGACCCTGTTTGCTAGCTCCATGGAGAATTTAATCCATGAAATCCTCCAACCGGAAGGATAGTTCCTACCAGAACAATGGTGGCCAAAATATGCTTGTCTGGGGACCCCCCAAGTTTCCACCATATTTTGAAGCCCAATGCTTCCAACTGTTTGTTTAAACGTTTTGAAGCCATTCCCCTGATGGGTGGCTTTATTTTAAAAACATGAAACCTCAAATTGTTACTGTTTTATCATCCCAAATAAAGGGAAGAAAGACATGTTTTGCCACCGACTGCTTCGAACGACAATTCAAACTATGCTCATTCCTAAGCATTCCGATTAAAACGCCTTCAAGTTTTCCGTTGGAAATTTCATTGAGACTGGTTACCCTTTCCAGTGTGAAACCTGATTTTGATTAAGTTCATAACTTAAACGCCTTAAAAATAACCATCCTGTGGTGAAATTGAACGTTTCCTCCAGATGTTGGGAAAACCTTCCGCCCAAAACGCCTCGCATCACTCGGAACTTCAGGTGCCGGGGCCTTGTAGGCGAAGCATCGCAACTCGCCGGGCAGAATGGTGACTTTCTGGAGATGAGAACCCTGATATGCTTGTTCCCCACCTGCCAGGTGAGGGTTGTTAGATTTTATCAGAGCGCTCTTCCTCCGCGTCCTCGTCCTCCTCCTCGTCCTCCTCCTCCTCCTAGTCGAGGTCCTCTTCCTCCTCGTCCTCCTCGTCCTCCTCGTCCTCCTCGTCCTCCTCCTCGCCTCCTCCTCCAGTTTCTCCTCAACCATGTCTGCATCAACTTCCACCTGCACTTCCGCCTTGCCAACTCTTCGCCCAGCTCTTTGCCAACTCTCTTCGCCGACTCTCTGCGCCAAGCTCTTTGCCAACTTCCCAGCTCAGTGTGCACCGCTGGACCTCAACCTGGGACCGTTCCAGCTCAGTGTGCACCGCTGGACCTCAACCTGGGATCTGCCCAGCTCAGTGTGCACCGCTGGACCTCAACCGGGGACCTGCCCGGCTCAGTGTGCACTGCTGGACCTCAACCTGGGACCTGCCCACATCAGTGTGCACCGCTGGACCTCAACCTGGGACCTGCCCAGCTCAGTGTGCACCGCTGGACCTCAACGGCCAGATAGAATACCAGAAGATATGCCAGATAGAATGTCAGATAGAATGCCAGAAGATATGCCAGATAAAATGCCATAAGATATGCCAGATAGAATGCCAGAAGATTTACCAGATAGAATGCCAGAAGATATGCCAGATAGAATGCCAGAAGGTATGCCAGGTAGAATGCCAGATAAAATGTCAGATAGAATGCCAGAAGATATGCCAGATAGAATGCCAGAAGATTTGCCAGATAATTTGCCAGAAGATATGCCAGATAGAATGCCAGATAGAATGCCAGAAGATATGCCAGAAGATATGCCAGAACAAATGCCAGAAGATATGCCAGATAGAATGCCAGAAGATATGTCAGAATATATGCCAGAACATATGCCAGATAGAATGTCAGAAGATATGTCAGATAGAATGCAAAGATTTGCCAGATAGAATGTCAGAAGATATGTCAGATAGAATGCCAGAAGATATGCCAGATAGAATGCCAGAAGATTTGCCAGATAGAATGTCAGAAGATATGCCAGAACATATGCCAGAAGATATGCCAGATAGAATGCCAGATAGAATGCCAGAAGATATGTCAGATAGAATGCCAGAAGATTTGCCAGTAAGAAAATCTATAAATGTCATGGTGGGGATCACACGAAGTAAAGTAATTTTAAAATTATCATTCAGAATCACTATTGGTGAATGCCCCAACTTTTGGCCGAATAACCCGATGAGTCAAAAAAGTATTAATATAATTCGTTTTTGTTGGTGAAGACGACCGCAAAATTTGTGTGATCCCCACCATGACATTTATACATGTTCTTACTGGCACATCTTCTGGCATTCTATCTGACATATCTTCTGACATTCTATTTGGCATTCTATCTGGCATATCTTCTGGCATATCTTCTGGCATTCTATCTGGCAAATCTTCTGGCTGGCATATCTTCTGGCATTCTATCTGACATATCTTCTGGCATTCTATCTGGCATTCTATCTGGCATATCTTCTGGCATACATTCTGACATATCTTCTGGCATTCTATCTGGCATTCTATCTGGCATATCTTCTGGAATATCTTGTGGCATATCTATCTGGCATATCTTCTGGTATATTTTCTGGCATTCTACCTGGCAA